TGTGTATGTGTGTGTGTATATGTGTGTGTGTGTATACGAACGAAGGACAACGAATAGAAAAATGAAATTAGAGTAACAGACTTGGGCAAGATTGTCACGCGAATCCCTGATCGCTTGGCCTGGATAATTAATTAATTCTATGGGAAAATGCAAATGTATCTTTTACAAGAATATATACAGTTGTTATTTCATCTTTTTTAATTTTAATCGATTCGATTCGAGTTTTTATTTCTGATCAAGAGAAAAAAAAAGAAAGAGAGAAAAGAAAAGAAAAGAAAAAAAATACAAAAAGAAACAAAAGAATTAATTAATCAGAACGATATTTATAAGTATGTCACTAATAAGATTGAAATTAAGTTTGATATCGATCGACTTAAAGTGATCGGCTTATAGATGTATCATTTAACAATAAAAGAAAAAGAGAGGAAAAAAAAAAAAGAAGAAAGAAGGAAAAAGAAGCACTGAGATCACACAAAGGAAAGAAATCTCACTTGGACTGATCTCGGAAGCAGACGTCGAAAGAGCGAAAGGGCGCCTCGAGTAAGAGCTGCATAGACATCCGGAAAGGGGTCAACGACACAGTGCCATCGTACTCTTACTCTCTCTCTCTCTCTCTCTCTCTCTCTCTCTTTCTCTCTTTCTCTCTCTCTCTCTCTCTCTCTTTTTACGTCAACTTTGGCTAGCACGTTGCCCTTACAACATAGCGGTCAATGATTCACCGGCGTTCTGAAGACTTATTACAAACCTTATCAACAATCTTATTCAAAGACTAAAAGCTTGCTATTGAGAGGAAAAACAAGAAAAAAAAAGAAAAAAAAAAAAGAAAAGAAAGGCATGGAAAAGAAAGGAAAAAGAGAAGAAAAAACGACGAAAGGACTGATAAAACTATATGTTTTGAAACTGTTAAACACTTTAGATTCAAGTTAAACGATTTAAGTTGTAATTTGGGTATAACGACGTAACAAACGTTAGTAGAAAGAGTCGACGATCAAATTAGTCAACCGATCAGACGGCTGTTTCTCCGCGTACTGAGACTGACTGAGACAAGACACGAGCTCTGAGATCAGTGCCGGCTCGTTGCTACCACCACCAACACAACCACCACCAACATCAACACCAATTCCAACACCAGCAATAGCACCAGTACCAGTACTTGCACCAGTGCTTGCACCAGCACCAGTACCAGTAACAGTAACAGCACCAGCACCAGCTCCACCACCACCAACACCACCACCAGGCAACGTGGATCTCGTTCTTCCTGACGAGGGTCGCTTGATACATCATATACACTGGCTGGGTGTCGTTTGAGGTTCACGATTCTACCGCAAGGCGGCGTACGGTATAGAGGAAGCCGGACGACACCCCCGTAACTATATCGATCCACAACCCCTTCCTTCTCTTCCCCTCTAAACCAACCCCCAAGACACTCCAGGCCACTGCACTCGTAACACCAACGTGCTTTTCTGTCTCTTCTTCTTTACACTTTCTTTCTTTTCTTTCCTTCGTTTTTCTTCTCTTTTTTCTTTTTTCTTTTTTTCCTTTACTCTTTCGACGGTCTCTCTTACATCGAGTAAGTTTTTTCGTTTTTTGTTTTTGTTTGCTTTTCTTTTTATATGTAGAACGATCCACAGATCATTTATTTTTTTTCCCTCTCTCTCTCTCTCTCTCTCTCTCTCTATTTTCATTTATGGAGTGATGGTTGAGAGGTAATAATAAAAATACGGAGAAGATCGTAAGGATCATTTAAGATGTGCACGATTAACGCGAAAATTGTTCTTTTAAATCGATCTAGATCATTATTGTAAGGTAACACTTCGAATATAAATAATAAGAATTAGCTGGAACGATTACTTTAGATCGTTTGCTTTTTTGTTCTATGTGTGCTGATAAAAAAAAAAAAAAAAAAGAAAAGTGGCATAGATATCGTAAAGCATTTTTAAATGTTAATAAAGAAGTGACAACGACAAAGAAAAGTAATATATCGATTCTGATAAATTTTAATTAATTAATTTCGTACGATTGACAAATATTGATATTTAAAACGTCTAGATGATGATATGTCAAGAAATGATAAATAAAAAAGTTAGGCGAATATAGAGAGGATCACGGATAGAATGAACGGGGAACGTCAATTATGAAGTAGGAAAAATCAATAGGACGTAAATAATTTAATGAGACACGAGAACACAACGACGGAAGCCGTATATACATATACATATATATATATATATATATATATATATATATATATATACACATGTACACCCCTATACATAGATATCTATATATGAATATATAGCCCAAAGAGGGTTTACTTTGAAATTATGTTTCAAGAGAGCCTTCTTTTTCTTTTCGTTTTCTATTCTTTCTCATTTTTCTTTTTTTTTTCTTTTTTTAAGTTATTCTATCTTAAACTTTCGTTCACTTAGGTCAGTTAAATAATCGTAAAAGTATGCACGATACGTCAACAAAGGGTGCAGTCCTCGTGGCCGATCGCCACGTTGTAAGCTTCCTTGAAATATAGGTCGAGTTATGTAGGTCAAACGAGGGTGCGTACGCGTCTACAATCCCACCCCATCTCGAACCCCTCCTCCCATTTCCACCCTTATTCTCACTCCCCTCTTCCACGCCCACCCTCTATTACCCTCTCTCTCTTTCTCTCTCTTTCTCTCTCTCTCTCTCTCTTTCTCTCTTCTTTTTTCTCTCTTTTCCTCTTTCTTCCTTTCCCTCTGTAGACTTTGGTACAATGAAGAAAAAAAAGAAAAGAAAAGTTAATCAACCCTACGATCCTATTATCCCAACGATCGAATCGAATGATTGTCATTCATTCTTTATCTTACGATTTTTACAATTCCAAATAAATTTTTTTCTCTCTTTTATTGTTTGTTTGTTCCTCTTTGTTTTTCGTTAACAATTCCAATTGAATGTTTCAAAGCGTGAAATATTATTATCATGTTTTTTTTTTCTCTTCCTTTTCCTTTATATTTCCGAGGAATAAACAAATGTCATAATCATAATTTTGCTTTATCATTATTATTATTATTTTTTTTTTCTTATTTATAATAAAAATATATAATTTCTCTCGTACGTTTTAATTTCCGCATGGATGAAAAATTTATATTTTATGTATTTTATTTAGTAAAGTGATTGATGAAAATAAATCCGAATAGTTTCTTTATTTCTATTTCTTTTTTCTTCTTTTTTCTTTTTTTTTTCATTTTTTTTTTTCTTCTTCTTCTTTTCTCAAAACATTAAATACGATTTCAGAGATTGATTTGTAAAATGTTTCAATATCACGGACACGTTCTAAGGGAATGAAATATTTTGTTCTTTTTGCACTTTTGTATATATTATCACGTATCAAATAACATTTGGTGCGTTCTTTCGGTATTTTCCACACGGTCGATCACACGTGTGTACCGGATGAACAAAAATAAATTTGAAGTGCATCGTTTCCCCGTTCATCTTAAAACGGCGCATGCTCTCGTTCATACGTTGGCTCGTGCCGATCGAATTCTTCGTGACATCCTTTTGTAACGTACGTGTCATTGTTTAATCGATAATCGATATAGAGAAAGAGAGAGAGAGAGAGAGAGAGAGAGAGAGAGAGAGAGAAAGAGAGGAAGAGAGAGAGAAAATAATTTAGTTGGAGGAGTGAAAAGTTAATAATAAAAAAAGAAAATTAATAATAAATTTAATAGCGTATATATCGTAGAATAATTTTTATTTTTTCTATCTCACTCTCATCACGCATCGTTGATTTTAATAATCTTGGAAGCTCGCGAAACAATTTGTTAGAAAACTTGGCTTCGACGAATATCTAACCGAAGGACAGGACAAACCTATTTTTGTACTAATTTACTATTAATGAATTTCAAGATGGCAAGAAGTAAGTACCTTCAATTAAAATTATTTTCGTGAAAATCTTTATTATTAATTTCCTTTCTAGAGTTTTCAAAGTTCACACACATATATACATATATATATATATATATATATATATATATATATATATATATGTGTGTGTGTGTTTATATAGTTGAATAGATTAAAATTTATGTTGTCATGTTCTATATTTAATTTTGTGTAGGAAAATTTTCTCACTGGTCCAATAAATATTATAAGTAGAACTAACATGAAAAAACAAGCCTCTATAATGTAAACTTTGATAATATAATAGTATTATCAATGTATATTTATTTTTTTATTTATTTTATTTCATTTTATTTCATTTAATCGTCATGTCGAAAATCAAAAGATTTTCATAATTTTTAATAACTCTGAATTATGGTTAGTATAATTATACTAATATATGATGTTATTATTATGCTAAAACATAATTTATACATTATGGTATAAATTATGGCATAATTATATTAATTATACCAATTATGGTTAATTATATTAATTATACTATTACGCTGTATTAAGTAATAAAAACAAGTTTTTATTATGCGACGAAGAAAAATATTTTAAATTGAAAGAGAGAGAGAGAAGAATGAGAAAGAGACAGAGACAGAGACAGAGAGAGAGAGAGAGAGAGAGAGAGAGATTAATATTATGATATACACATTGAATTACATAATTATACTCTACTAAGTATAAGTATAAAAGTTTAAAAAAAAAGGAAAAAGAAATTGATTAATACAAAATGAAAAGTAAATAATTGACAGATAAATTGATAAATAGATTGATGAGATATATATTGAGATATATATATATATATATATATATATATATATCGAAAAATTTGATTGTCATTGAATTATTGAAAATAAGGGTTAATTGTGACGTTTACCTTTCTTCTCCCAAAAGCTTTGTAATGTTCTCGTCTCATCGGTTTTCGCAGATGCGCCATTTCCCAGTTGTAGCTTCGTTGAAAAGCAAAGCTCGCGTGTTTTAAGCACGATGAATGAAAGGAAATAGAGATCTCGTGGATGAGTAAAAAAGACGGATGAGAAAATGTGAAATGCTCGGATACAATGTGTCAAATGGTGATACGAGAAGTCGAGGATATACTGAAGTGGACTCGATAATGCTGCTAGAATGCTGCCGTAGAGCTTTCGAATTTGTGGGCCTAAACGAATGAGCTTTCGTCAGCTTCGCGAGTCCATCGACTTCCGGCACGAGCTTGCATAGTGAGTTCTACCTCTCGGCCGCATTTAGCGTTTCTTCTTCTTCTTCTTCTTTTTCTTTTTCTTTTTTTTTTCTCTTTTTTTTTCCTTTTATTATCTCCTTTCACTTTTCTATCAAGTTCACTGTCCTATCGCACACCACACAATTATTCTTAAACATTCAGAACGATATTTCACTTTTCCACCCGACTTATTTAACTTCAAGTTTCGTAAAATTAATTGTTCCCTTAAATATCTTTCGATATGCTTTTTACTTCAATTTATCGAAAAAGTGAAACAAAGAAATGAGAAGAAATGAAAAATATTTCGCTCTCTTCTTCTCTTCTTTCTTTTTTATCTTTCTTTCATATAAAAAAAGAAAACATCGAAATCCACTAAGTGCACGTAAAATACAATATATTTTCTTTTTTTTTTATTTTTTTTCGTTACGAAAATATCAAAACGTTTTATGAGACTTTTCTCTGTCAGAAACAATATTTCCTCTCACCTAGATATATAGAAAATATCATTGATAATATTTTACGAATCTTTTCTCTGGGTTAGAAAAAAAAAGAAAAAAAAAAAAAAGAAAAAAAGAAAAAAAAGAAAATTTCTCTCTTTTCAGGTATAAAGAAAATAGTGTAACAATACTGAGATACTTAATAGAAATAGATGATCAGAAGAGCGATCCTAATCACAGAGAGTGATTTTCCAGAAAAAGAAAAGAAAAAAAAAAGAAGAAAGAAAAAGAAAAAGAAAAAGAAAAAGAAAAAAGAAAGAAAAGGTAGGAGCAAATTAATGAGCTCTTTCGTCCAATCGACCGATCTTTGGATCGATGCCTGAGGATGAGTGTAACAGTTCGTGACGTCTTTAACGAGAGAGTATATCCAACTTGTTAATCTTTAGCCCTGGCCTTGAGCCGACGACGAATTCCAATTTTTTTTTTCTTGTTTCTTTTTTTTTTTTTTTACGTACTTCTTATAGTAAAATAAAAATGAACGAACACCTACACTACACAGTTGTGAAAGAAATATTTCATATAAATACGAGAGCGTATAAAGTAAAATACACGAGACGATTAAAAATAGAATTTTATGACTAAACTCTTAGGATTTCAACGTAAATGAAATTCCAAATGATATTTAAACATGAATTTGAAGTATTCAAGGTATCGCATGGATCTTTATGTGTGTGATCCTCTTTGTAAAAAAAGAAAAAAAAAAAAAAGAAAAAAAGAAAAAATTAATATCCATTGGAAATTATCCAATAGAACTCGACGAAGTTTATAAGAATTATATTTCAATGCACTTACATATTTTCAAGTTATTATATAATAGAATTATAAGTGCGCGACCGTGAGTGTGATATTTGTATGCATTAAATTGAATTGCAAAAGGAAAAAAAAGAAGAAGATAAAATTCAATGGACGATCATCGATCTCATTAAAAGTTAGATTTCGAAGGTAAAAAAAATTCAAGAAGAAAATAGAAAATAAAAAGGTAAGGAAGATAGAAAATAAAAAAAAAAGCATACGAAAAAGCGTCGATGAACAAGATGAAAAAATTGTGTCACGTGTTCGTGAAACCTCGTTCTGATAACAACGATAAGAAAGAAAGTAAAAAAAAAGAAAAAAAAGAAAAGAAGAAGAAGAAAAAAAAAAGAAAACTAATAATTTTGATTTAGAAACGATTAATATCTCACTCTTTCTTCTTTTTTCTTTTTCTTTTTCTTTTTCTCTTTTCTTTCTTTCTTTCCTTCTTTCTTTCTATATCTCACAAACACAAATTCACAGATACACGTTTCAAAGAGTGAAACAGAGAGAGAGAGAGAGAAAGAGAGAGTGAGTAAGAGAGAGAGCGAGAGAGAGAGAGATCGAGAGAGAGAGAGAGAGAGAGATCGAGAGATCGATCTTTTATTATATTTTGATCTATCTCTCTCAACACGACGAATAACACAACCGGATAAAATCTCGTTGAAGAGAATACGATTAGCGCGTTTCTCGCGAGATACTGTCGAGGCAAGGAGCTTTTGGAACGCACCACGACCTCCTCCGCTATAAATAAAACGTGTCGGCGGCCACAACGAGAATTTTGCCAGCAGCAGCAGCAACAGCAGCAGCAGCAGCAACAGCAGCAGCAGCAGCAGCAGCAGTAGTAACTTCGTATTCGTAAGATTGTAAGTCTTCCTTCGTATCCTTGTCGTGATTCATAAATTATCTCTTATTCGTTATGATCGAGGAAGTTGTAATTAACAAAAAAACAAAAAGAAACAAAACAAAACAAAAAGAAATGAGACGAAAAACAAAAAGAAAGGGAAAGATAAAGAGAACAAAAAAGAGAATAGAATCTTTCGTTTTATGTACATTAATTAATAGTAATAATTTCAATCACCCTTTGTTTATATCGAGAATATTATGATGAAATATATTAATCGTGAGTATTAAGATAAAATATCGTAAAAAAAGAAAAGAGAGAGAGAGGGAGAGAGAGAGACAGACAGACAGAAAAAGAGAGTAGAAAAATAATTATCAATTTTGAATAATTTATTTGTTATCTCGCAACGAGAAAAAAAATTATGTAATATTAAATCTTACTTCGAACAAATTAAAATAGAAATTATCGTTGTTAATAACTTGTCTATGTGCGGTAAAACTTTCCAATTTCCCGCCACTGTTCACGCGGTATAAACAGATATCTGTTTTATCGATTGTTAATAAATCTCTGTCTTTATCTTTCTTTTCTTTTTTTTCTTCTTTTTTTTAACGATTCGACGTAAAATTTTCAATATAAATATATTCATTCGTAGATTAACGAAGAATGAGAAGTAGGAATCGTTGAAAAAAAAAAGAAAAGAAGAAAAGAAAAAAGAAATTTTTGTTCTAATTACCAACGATCGATGTGATCGATTCTTACGTCGATAACGTAGAAATCTTCGTCGGTATATCGTGCTTGTGACCTTTCAAGGATCATTTGAAAGACAATCATTGTTCACTTCGAGTCCGTCGAATTTTTTGGAAAAAAAATTAAAGGAAAGAAGAGAGAATGAAGAGGGAGAGAAAAAAAAAACGAAAACGAAAAAGAAAGAAAAAATACAATGGAAAATAAATATTATCGATTTGAATGAAATTTATCGAAATTCGAACAAGGGGACATTTAAACCTGTCTCTATAATATTTACAGAAGAATCCAAGCGTCTCTAGTTCCCCGCACCTGTTTCATTTTTCTCACTGTTGCATCATCGTCCGCGTTCCGGAAATGTAGGCCGCTTTGACGAGCCGCAGGCGGATTTAGAATCCAAAAGAAGAATGGAAGTATGCACGTGTCGAGCTATCATCGACTTTTTTCTTTTTCTTTTTTTTTTCTTCCTTTCCCCTCCCCCTGCGCTCCCGCTCGTTTCCAACACATTCCTCGGAACAGGATTGAATTCAATGAGAGAGAAAGAGAGAGAGAGAGAGAGAGAGAGAGAGAGAGAGAGAGAGAGAGAGAGATAGAAGAAAAAAAATGAGAAGATTAAGGGTATGAAAATATATGGATATTCTCCGTTTAAATTTGCTTTTCGATGAGACGTTTAAAAAAAAAAAGAAAAAAAAGAAAAAGAAAAAGATGAAAAAAAGGAAAAAGCAAGAGAAGAAAAGAAAAGAAAGAAAAGAGAAAAAAGAAGAGAAGAAAAAGAGAGAAGAAAAGATATTCTTTTCTTCTTTCCTTTTGGAAACAGCTTGAAAACGGAAAGTAAAGTAAATGGATTTTTTACTTTAAGAAGACGAAGAAGAGGAAGAAGAGAAAGAGGAAGAAGAAGAAGAAGAAGAAGAAGAAGAAGAACGATCACGAAGAACATGTCTTATGTAAAAGGGCGAAACGACAGATGGTAGACAATTTCCGAAAGCCAAAACTCTATCTCTCTCTCTCTCTCTCTCTCTCTCTCTCTCTCTCTCTCGATATTTTTCTTCACCTATGAGAAAAAAATTTTTATATTTATTCTAATAATATAAAGCAATTATTTTATTGAAATGATGTTTACGAGTGCGAAAGAATTTAAATGTTCATCTGTGTGATCAATGATATAGATCAAATAATGCTATCAAGTCAAAAAGCCATTTGTGTCTTACGATCTTGTTTACAATATATAATGCTCGAACGATCGAATGGCATGTATTATAATGTCTATATGTGATGACCTTGAACTAACATCGACTATCCATACTACGACATAACGAATAATGAAGGCGAATTAGATTCAATCGAACGATTAACAACAGCCACAGCCTTACTATGTTCTCTCGAGGTAGATACTCGATCACCTCGAGACACTGTTTATATATTTATGGTATATAACTCCTAATTGAAAATTCTCTCATTAATATATACATATAAATTAAATATATATATATATATATATATATATTAAAAAATAATAAAACGAAAAGAGAGATATATAATCCTATTAAAAAATAAATCCATTGAAGAAGCTACTTCATTAGACGATCATGGTCGTATTAAATGAGAGCCTTTTGAATAAGATCTAACCTTCGCTATTCAAATAGTTCATTAAATCAACATAATTAGAAATGTAATATTTGGCTTGAGATATAGAAAAAGGAAAAAAAAAAAAAAAAAGAAAAACAGAAGAAAGAAGAAGAGAAAGAAAGAAGAAACATTTTAAAAATAAATAACATTAATAGCTCGTAATTGGACATTGAAATGAATGAATGAACGAATGAATGAATAATTAAGTAATTAATTAATTAATACGAAGATAAAAATTTCAATATTAAATTGACGTAAATAACGTAATCGAATATTTTCTATAATACCATAATTCTGGTATTATATAAATAAAGTGGACGTAAGTATATAACGATGATCGTTTTTATGAAATCCTAGTTCTTCCTTTATCTATTCGATTTCATAACAAGAGCTTCTGCTTTTGGCATGTTGGACACGGCTAACGACGACACGTGAATACCACGTATGTTGGGAATCGAGCCAATAATTACGATCAGAAGGCCATTGCTCTAAAAACACTGGATGGTACTATTAAACAATATAGACTGTAATATGGATTAATACGATCGTTCAATACATTTTTAAAATTTATATTCTTTATCCTATTTAAACGTAAAAACAAAAAATAAATATATATATATATGTATATGAAGTCGTAAGTACGGAGTATTTCTAATCTTCCTAAATCCAGAATTTCTAAAAACGATGAACGTCAAAACTTAATCGAAAACATTAGAAAATGAATATCTATTTGAGAAAAAAAAAACGAATATACATTAATAATCTATGATTTAATTTAATACCCCCAATGTGTATAAATAAAAATTAATAAAAGATGAGACTTATAGAACAGTATACTTGATAGATATGTGTTAGAAATAAAAGTTCGCTATTAAAAAAAAATGATAATAAGAAAAGAGAAAAAAAAATAAAGAAAGAAGAAGAAACGAAGATTGTAAAGAAAAATTTGTATATACTTATACGATATAAAAACTCCGCAGTATAATGTATATACGTAGTAACGTAAGTGAATTTTTTTATCGACGACAAAAAAAAAAAAAAAGAAAAAGAAAAGAAAACGGAAGAAACGTTAATAAAAAAAAGAAAAATACAACAAAAATGAAGAAAAGAAAATAAAAGAAATAGAGACATTTACCTTGGATAAGAGAGAACCTTATCCACCTTATTTATATATTAATAAAGAAAAGAAATAATTCGATTGAAATATTTTCAAATGCAATTATAAAAAAAGTATGATATAAACTAACGATAAAATAATCGTTAGAAAATCAACAGGGAAACGAACTACACTACGATTAGACACGTCGTTTATATGGCGATATAACCATTCATTCCTACGAGAGCACTATAATCGTGGCCTCACGCTTCTGGCCTATGTACGTATGTATGTATGTATGTATGTACGAGCAACTGCGCATGCTCGAGCATCGAATATGCACATACATATATAAATACATAAATACATACATTGATAGATAACATACACGCGAGAATCCAGCTTTCTCTTTTTATAGCCCTCTAAGCATCGACCCCACCTCCATCGAAGCTTCATGTATATATATATATATATATATAAAGCATAGCCGATATTCTATACGTATAAATACATGTATCTGAAAATGTATGTGCATGTGTATGTGTGTGTGTATGCTACTTTACTAGACATATATTATAACTCACGTATTGCGAGGGCGGTACAAAGTGATTAAAATATTTATTTCTTAAATATATATATATATATATATATATATATAGTATATATACTCTTTTCTCTATCTGTTTGTCTATCTATCTTTCTCTCTCTTTCTCATTTTTATCGTTTGGAGTGGTTTTCTTTTTCTTTCTCATTTTTCGATTTTCGAAACTTTGTTTTTGTCTTTTATCTTTTCTATAAATTATATCGAAAAGATACGTAAGAAAATGGATTTTTAGGATAACGCAAAAGATACGAAAAAGTTTATGCGCAATGGCTGTTTAATGAACATACTTGTTGTCCCAGTTTTACCTACACTATCTATATCGGGTTAAGGGCGACGATCGATCTGAACAAGGCAAGATACAGAACTCGTACTTACAGATATATATAACTATAAATATATTTATACACACACACACACACATGCACATACATACACACATATCTATTTTGTTTTTTCAACTTTATCCAAACAATTATCTATCATATTTTTTGTCGACGAAATTGACTAATTATTAACCATAAAATCGATACAACATTAATTAATTCTATTCTGTGATTTAATTCGAAATTAAATTTCATTTATTCATTTTTTGTTTTTTCTTGTTTTTTTCTTTTTTCTCTTTTTTTTTTTTTTTCTTTTTTTCAACGCAACGTATTACTATCGCTACAACAAAACAAATTTTCACAAAGTGAAAAATGTCAAGCACTCTGCTCGTTCAAGTAGGTTAAATAAATACAGAGAGAAAGAGATATGATGCAATGCAATAATATTAAAAGGAAAAAAAAAAAAAAGAAAAAAAAAGAAAAAAAAAGAAAAAAAAGAAAAGGAAAGAAGAAGAAGAAGAAGAAATAATTGGAAGAAGTAACATTGAAAATTTATCCTTTCGGATGCAAATGTTAACACACAAAAGATAAGAAGAGATATCTCGGTCTCCCTAAATAATATTGTGACCCGTTGTTCTTAAATACCAATTTCAAGATTTGCTACCTATAATAGATGTCCCCTTTGATTTACCAAACGTAGTAAGATAGCCGTTATTAACGAGCACGTCCGTCAAAGAAATTTCATTCGATTAATCTCACGGGGCACGTAATAAGAGCTCTCTTTTAAAAAGAAATACCAAAGTTATCGTATCGAAGATAAAAACGATTAATTTCATTAATATCGGAGGACGTCCTTAATGCCGATGGAAATATGTCGGAATAATATCATCAATGTTGGTGGCATGAACAGTTTTTTCTTTCTTACTTTTTCTTTTTCTTTTTTTTTTCTTTTTTTTTTTTTTTTTGATTAAAGAATCAACAAACATAAAAAAACGGAAAGAGAGATAGAGAGAGAGAGAGAGAGAGAGAGAGAGAGAGTTTCATTCATCAATATCAACATATATGTATATATGTATATAAAGAGAAAAGAGAAATGAAAGGATGAATATCATTAATTCGTACGATGACGTTAAGCAAGGCGAAAAAAAAAGAAATATTTCCGAATAATAATCTTTAAGGAATAATGATTAAATGAATGAAAAAGAAGAAAGAAAAAAATTAAAAATATGCAAAAGAATATCAGAAAAATAAAATTGTCATTTGAAAAAGATCGATGATCCTGCGAATTAATATTATTATTTCTCTCTCTCTCTCTCTCTCGCCCTCTCTCTCTCTCTCTCTCTTGTTTAAAATAAATTGAGAAAGGATATCGATCGCGATACCAAACGATAATAATATTCGTAACTTAGACAGACGTATACGTATGTGTAAATACATACATACATATATATATATATATATATATATATGTATAGATACATAAAGATACATAAATACGTGAATACATAGAGAACATGAATTTGCGTCTGGGTTGCGACGAACGTGTTTGTCCGGTTATCATTATGCGCAACCTAATTACCTCTCAATGATTTCATGGAACGCCGCCGTCCCGAAGCCCAATTGAAGAGATGTCCCCGCACGATTGCCGATTCACCGACGAATTAAACGTCCGCGCGTTGTCCGCTCGTCGAAACATTTACATACTTAATGCCAAGGACACCGTCGTGAATTATGTTCTGCGAAATGTGGGCAACGCCCACGGTGGATATATACAACTGACATATTTTTCTCGTTAATTCTCTCCTCTGCAACATTTTTCATTCTTCTTTTTATTTTTTTATTCTTTATTTTTTCCTTTTTTTTTCTTCTTTTTTTTTTTTTTTTGGTTATCAAAAAATTACTCGTAAAAATTCTACTCTCCTTTTGAGAAGATAACGATTTATCTCTTTGTTTATACTTTTTGTTCGAAAAGGTTTCGTTCGTAAAGTGGAAATTATCTCATACGTTCGTGTGAACTCGGCGGGACAGAAAATCGATAATATTGTAAATATATATATATATATATATATATATATATATATATATATATATATATATATAAATAAGTATGACCGAGACCGATACTCAACATACGAGTATGTTGATTAAATGAATAAATATATCGGCACATTGGATAAATATTACAAACGGAATATTACTCCAATGAAAGATGAACTGTCAATCGAAAAATTATCTAACGATGATTATAATAACGATGATTGAAAATGAAAATGCACATTAATATAAATGAAAAATTTCTATATAGGAATAATATCTTAAACTATCTTATTCTTTGGACAATTAATAACAATTATTAACACGATACATTATGATTAATAACATCAATAATAAAATTAATGAGAGAGATGTAATGAAAAAAAAAAAAAAAAAAAGAAAAAAAAACTAAGAGAAAGAAATACAAAAAAAAGAAAAAGAAAAAGAAAAAAAGAAACAAAGAAATAATGATTGAAGAGAAAATCAATGTAAAATGAGAATCCATGTATATTGAAATTGCAGAGGTCACAGATCGATCAAAATATGGCTAACGATTAATCGGTCATCGAACGTGAAAGTAGCTATTAAATATACGTCATAGTTCATCCAGCTTCCTAGTCAACGTTATATATCGTTTACTAAGGAAAAACTCGTCCTGATAGATAATAATAAAGGTGTCGTGTCGCAACGCATAGCCTGTCGCCTCGATAGGACTCGATTTAATCTTTTTATCTACGAGACATAATACATAACGAGATCCTTTACTTTGATGGAAATATAAAAGGAAGGCCTACATCTATTAATAGTAGGAAAAAAGAAAAGAAAAAAAAAAAAAGAAAAAAAAAGGAAAAAAAAAAGAAGAAAAGAAAAAAAATAGTCAGCTCGACGTAATTTCCACGTCGATATGTCAAACGTTCGAAATCATGGTTTTATAATTATCCGAATTCTATTATCGTCCAATAGCGTAGGATCTTAAAAGGCTTATTTTTAAACAAATTTTCTTTTTCTCTCTCAATATATCGATCGATATTTTTCTAAGCACTGAGATAAGGACAAACGAAAAGAAAGAAAAAAAAAAAAGAAAAGAAAAGAGAATAAGAAGTAAAGAACGGGGAAAGAAGAATTTTCGTTTAAAAAGAATTTTTTTTCTTTTTTCTTTTCTTTCTCTTTCTTTTTTTTTTTTTTTTTTTTTTTATAATTTTATTTATAAGAAATCGTAGGAGTAACTTGGACGAACCATAAGCAAGAACCAGTTGTCCGTTTCCTCTCAACACAAATCAGTCTTAAATCTCTCTCTCTCTCTCTCTCTCTCTCTCTCTCTCTCTCTCTCTCTCTCTCTCTCTCTCTCTTCTGTATAATGCAATTAAGTGAAACTACTTAAAACAAGATAGAGATAGAGAAAGAGAGAGAGAGAGAGAGAGAGAGAGACAAATGAAGTTTTATCTGTGAAAAAAATCGTTTCTCCAAGAGACTGGCTCCATTTCCGAGGGTTTCTCGTGAATCCTTCTTCTTGATCCTTAATGCGCAAAAATAAAAAAAAAAAGAAGGGTAAAATAAAATAAACGGATAAGAAAGTAAGCAATTGGCAGATGAAGGATAGTGGGAGGAGATGGACGACAGGGGGAGAAGGAGAAGTGAGAGAGAAAGAAAAAGCAACCTATTACTGCTACTACTACTACTACTACTACTACTACTACTACTGTCTGATACTACTGTCTGATACTACCATGGTATTACTATTTCGCAATAATTACAGGTAAACGTTTTCGCGACAACACCAATATCCTCCCATTTGTCTTTGGCATCGTTATACCGAACGATTCGATATCTTTCAATTATTTTGCTTTCCATTATTCGACACTTCACCATTTTTAATATTCTTCGATAAGAAGAAACCGTTCGTGCCGAACGAGATTTACTTATTTTTTACTTAAATTTACTTATTTATTTTATATCTCCACTGATAATTCCTCATTTTTTATTTAATTGCGTTTGGAAAGGAAGAGAGAGAGAGAGAGAGAGAGAGAGAGAGGGAGAAGGAGAGAGGAAAGAAAGAAAGAAAGAATAAAAAAAATGAAGAAGAAGAAGAAGAAGAAGAAGAAGAAAAAAACGTTCGAATTAACAAACAGGTCCATTAACCAAAAAGGCATCCTGGTTCTTTTTTTTCTTTTTTTTTTTTTTTTTTCTTTCTTTCTTTTTTCGACTCGAGGACATCTTTTTATTTCAGTCTTTAATTTCAATCGATTAAGACGGTAGATGTCTGATTATTGGCTCGATAAAAATTAGCCACGAAATCATAACGATCTTATAAGTAACACACACACACACACACACACACACATATATATATATATATATATTTATGTATATAAAGATTAAAATACACAATTTCACCCTATCTCCTTTCTTTTCTCTCTTTCTCCTCTTTCTTTCTTTCTTTTTTTTTTTTTTTTCTTTCATTCTTACTTTCTTTCTCTCTTTTATTTTAAAGGTACCGCTCGCCACACCTCGAAAGATTACCGGTTTTGGATCTCTCTCACTATAACCAGATTTAAGAAAGATCGAAGAAAAACATTATGGTAGGTATATATAGCGGTGGGAGAGAGGGGAGGGAAAGGGAGGAAAAAGGAGAGAGAGAGAGAGAGAGAGAGAGAGAGACAAGATCGAATAGAACGCAAAGCATGAAACTAAAAACAGAGGAAGGCCCACCCACGCGATTAGATATCTCGCTTACTATACGATAAATTCACTTGAAAATATTTCTTTATGTGTGTACACATGTATGCATGTATATATTATATGTACGTATTAACATATAACCAAAAAAAAAAAAAAAGAGTATGTAACTAATACAAGTATAAGATTTAAGTATTAGTCAAAGCAGGTTTCTTAATAGCTTGTATAGAGAAAGCGTTGAGTTTCGATAAAATAGTATTGCCTCATAGAAATTACCATAGGATTATCCGTTATATAGTCATTTAAAGGACATAAACGAAAAGATTTCATGAAGCATAAGACGTTCGATTATGTTCTCGAAGAAAAAATTTATATATGTATTATAGAACTTATTAAATACATGATTTCAAAATAACATCGTCGAAATTAATGCGAATATTAAAGAAATATCAATCATAAATATATGTATATGCATGCACATATATATATATATATATATTTATGTGTGTGTATGTATGAATTTATTTATTTTTTATTTATTTTTTTTTTTATCATAAAATACACGCAATTACGTTTAATAAAATTTAAACTATAGAAAATCTAACATTAATTTTCTATCCTGATGGCCTGCGAATTGGATGATGGTATCTCGAAGAAAAAAAAGAAGGAGAGAGAAAGAGAGAGAAAGAGAGAGAGAGAGAGAGAGTTGAAAAGGTACGTCGAGCCCAGTCATCTTCACGATGTTGACCTTGATCTTGAGCGAGCTAGCGCGAGTAGTTGTTGGTAAGGTGCAACACGAAAAGAGTTTCGTACGTTCACCATAGAATCATTCCCTTTCTTTTCTTTATAATTCTTTAACGATAAATATATCCAATTGATACGAACGAATTTAGATACGGACGTCGATTAGAATATAAATAAATTACGAATAAATATTTCGTTCTAATTAAAACGACTAAATAAATAAAATACATATACATATATATATATATATGTATGTATATAATTAGAAAGATTGATATTAATCATGGAAACATTAGTTCGTTCTCTCTCTCTCTCTCTCTCTTTCTAGCACCCTTTGCCTCCCAACCCCCCCTCACAGTTTCTAACAGCAGACATTCCAAAGAAGCAAAAATACTTAAAGGCACCGAACGAGTTTGGAGGCCAGGCCTAAGGTTAACTTAGCCACAGAAAGACAGGGGAGATGGCCGTGGGGCCTTTTTGGTGGTGTTGCGGGGGCCTCTGGGCGTCGGTAGTAACGTAGCTAGTCTTTCGATGATGGCGTTGGTGATCCCCTGGTACGGGTGATGGTAGTAGTGCGGTTGGAAGCAGTGTACTGGGAGGACAGGCGGGCGGGCGATCAGGAGGACGGGGGCGGGGGTTAGTGGGGAGGGGTAGAGGCCCACGATGTAGCAGCAGACATATAGAGTTTTCGTTCTGTTCGCGGTGCGGTATAATGGCAACGTGTTTTCGTCTAATGTACTTTTTGTGATGTCCTTGATGGAGGAGTCTGCGAATGCAGAACAGGCAGGGCTGGCCCCACCGGGCTGGCCAATGTATGCTAGAGGGAGATGGAAAAAAAGACATACACAGAGAAAGAGAGAGAGAGAGAGAGAGAGAAGGATGAAAAGTGGTGGGGAGAACGACTAAGAAGTCTCAGCACCTCAACCCACCTCAACTTTAGGCCTAGTCAAGGTCAGTGCGGCAGGTCCCACCTTCTCCTCCCCCTCTTTTTTTCTTTTTTTCTTCTTCTTCTTCTTCTTCTTCTTCTTTCTCTTTTCTCCTTTCCTCTCTTCTCCTCTCCTCTTCTCTCTTTTCTTCTCTTCTCTTCTCTTCTCTTCTCTTCTCTTCTTTTCTTTGCCGCCATCACCCAACGTTCCTTGCTGCATTATCGCGTCATACCATACTCAGACCCATACCCACTTTTTTTACTTTCTATCTCTCCCTCTCTCTTTCTCTCTCTCTCTCTCTCTCTCTCTCTCACTCTTCTCGAAATCCTAATTAGTCAAGATACCTCACCGATTAGTCTAACAAAGAAATGATTCCAACTCTCTAATATATTTTATATTATTTTATATATATATATATATATATATATATATATATTATATTTTTTTGTTAAGTTTCTGGATTTATGATATATTTAAAAAAGATGCATCTTTTATGTTAATATTTAGAATATAAAGGCATGTGTGCAAGTAAATACATATGTACATACATATATCTTATTCGTTTAGTTACAAGTATAGTAGTTATATGTATATGATTTACAATGAAATATATATGAAAGAAACAGAAGCGGTCGACGTTGATGAATGAACCTGATGAATCAGGCATCCTCCTTGAGTATTCTCGAAAGACCTTTCCTTACGATCAAGAGTGTCAAGATAAATAGGCCCTTTTTTCATTCGTCTTGATATCCAAAGAAGAGCCTACCATACATATAGTACCATACAATATATTTATAATATATATGTATATACATGTATGGTCTAGATTACTATATTCTCTCTCTCTCTCTCTCACTTTCTCTCTCTCTCTCTCTCTCTCTCTCTTGACTCTAGTCGATATCTTTCATTAAAAAAGAAAAAGACCGTATCGTATACCTTACTTTGAGAAAAAGTTCGTAAGTACGTACATATGTATATCTTTTATAGTTAAAGAAAGGATAAAGAAGAGGGGGAAGGACCAAGAAATAGTGGTCACTCGTCCCACGAGATCGAGCTTGATCCTTTGAGAGTAAGTCCGAGTTTGCAGCAAGGATACATCTCGGAATGTTCGGCGATAATGATCTACGTTCGAGAGAAGAGGGTATTTCGAAGAGAGGACGTAGGCGAGACGAAGGGTCCATAGAAAGAGAGAGAGAGAGAGAGAGAAAGATAGAGAGAGTAAAGAACCGAGATGGAAGTTGGTAATCCGAGAAGCCCGAGGTGAAGCGAGCTGAGGGCATGCTAGTACCAAATGAGATTGGGAAGCGGCCTGTGTCCAGGACTACTTTGGAGTGTCCTTCTTGCCTCTGGCTTCTCTCTTTTGCGTTTGTTACCAACCAACCAACCAACCAAGCAACCAACCCCAGCAGCAATCTGGTCTCTGAATTTGTCTCTAAGATATCAACAGAGAGAAACGCGGAATCTTAAAAACCAAAAGGATTCTAATAAATTAAGCAATGAGATTATTCAAAATATCCTAAACAAATTGGTGTAGTTATTGTTCGTATCTATAATTATTTTTTTTTAAATTATTCGAACATTTTTAGAAAGAAAAGAAAAAAAAATATATATATATAATATGTATAGTAAGAATGATTAAAAATTATTATTATGTTCAAATGATTTTTATTAGGATGATTTGAAGATTTATCTGGAAGATTGAATTCCAACGAATCGACTTTCGACTTCCTTTCTACGTAGGTACGTACCTTTTACGTACATATATATATATATATATATATATATAAAAACTTATACATATGTATGTATGTATGTTTGTATGCGTATACCTATGGTTCGGTCAAAATGTGCCCACCCTACCATGTGGTTTAGAAAAAGAAAAAGAAAAAGAGAGAAAGAGAGAAAGAAAGGGAAAGGGAAAGGGAAAGATGGTGCCGAAGTTGCCGCAGTGCCACTGGCATCGAATTACTTGCCCCTCCCATATTCCTTACGTTCTGGATTAGTCTTGTTTCTTATTGTGCCAAATGCTTTCTTTGTTTCTCAAAATATATATGTATATCATAGATGAGATTAGAAAGAAGAAGAAAAAAAGAAAAAGAAAAACAAAAAAACAAAAAAGAGATTAAATTATACACCCTCTTTCATCATGTTAAATTTAAATTAATTAATATTGTTGTATCGTTATAAAGTTTAATTCTTTATTTCAATCCTATTTGAATTTTATATTTTTATAAAGAGTATAATTATAATATATTATATAAAGGATTTATGCGTCATGTTTCTAAAGAAGCAAAATAATGTAAAATAAAAATTTTTTCATATATTATAATTATACTATAATCAGTTATAATATACTACATACATTAGTATAAACATTACATAAATAATTATACTAATAATATATAATACTGATATAAAAACAATAATGATAATAATAAGATTATACTTTCAATCAGATTGGATATTATTAATAATACGAATTAAATAAATTACATTATAAATTTTCTTCTTCTTTTTATTATTTTTATTATTATTATTATTATTATTATTATTATTATTATTATTATTATTATTATTATTATTATTATTATTATTATTATTATTATTATTATTATTATTATTATTGTTATTATTATTATTATTATTACCATCATCATCATCATCATTATTATTATTATTATTAGTTATCAATCATCGAAAGACGATGTTACATATTAAATTTTAAAAGGTATAATTTTGATCATAAGTATTTGTATAAGAAAATATTATATAGATATAAATAAGGAAATGTCGAACTGGCTGGTTTGTAATATTCATTAAAATATCTCGATGAATATTCGTACAATTATGATGGGTATAAAATTTAAAATTATAATAATGCGTTAATATCGTTTTTAATTTTCTTGTTTTTTTTTTTTCTTCTTCTTTTTCTCTTTATTGTTGGTATAGCATGCGTCGTGAGAGCGCATTAATTGAAGGATGCCCGACGCACATCTGCGTTCTACCTCGTGCGTGATACCGAAGTAAGCGCCAAAAGCATATATAGAAGACACGAAACGAAACGAAACGAAACGAAACGAAAAGGAAAGGAAAGAAGTGGAAAAGGAAGGACTAAAGGAAGAAAGGACGGAAGGAAAGAAGGAAGGAAGGAAGGAAGGACGGAAGGAAGGAAGGAAGGAAGGAAGGAAGGAACGATTGTGAAGTCGATGCAAGTCGACTCGACGACGTTCGCAGCTGCAGGTACCGAAAAGCCAGTGCAACGGTTTCAATTGTCTGCAACATGGCTGCCGCTGCTCGACTAGGTCTCATAGTCGTTATCCTTGAAAGACCCGTGTGCTGCACCTCTTTCGTTTTGTTTTAACGCACGAGGGAGAGTGCGCACGCGCGTGCATGCCAGAGAGTTAGAATGAGAAAGGAAATAAAATGCGGCTTGCGTTTTAGAATGAGAGGAAGGAAGAGAGCGAGAGATAGAGAGAGAGAGAGAGAGAGAGACAGAGAGGGGGGAGGGGAATGAAGAGCCGAATGTTGCAAAACCAACCCGTATCCATGACTTATACCAATTCAGGAGTCTTCCATAAGAAATGATAATTGTCAAAATTTTTTATTTCTTTTCTTCTTTTTATTCTACTCTTTGTCTCTCTCTCTCTCTCTCCTTCTTTCTTTTTTTTTTTTGTTTTTTATCTTCATCCCTGCTCATTCCATCCTCCAATCGATATTTTTATCATGCAATTTTTAAAATGGATCGATAGGATATTCACTGTTTGATTATAGAGAGGAAATTTTTTAATTGGAGCACAGACGATTTCTATGGTAATTATGATTGATAGACATAATATATTTATCTCTCTCTCTCTCTCTCTCTTTCTCTCTCTTTTTTTTCCCTCGCTCTCTTTTTCTCTTTCTTTCTATCTCTTTTTTTATAACTTCCACGAAATATTTCTAACTTGAGATACTTCAATAAGATTACTGACGTAGACATTATTGATTAGATTAGAAAGAGAAAAAAAGGGAGAGAGAGAGAGAGAAAGAGAGAGAAAATATCATTGAATACGATTGATCAATACCCCCGATGATAAAAATAATAATAATAATAATAATAATAATAATAATAATAATAATAATAATAATGAAAGTAATAATAATAATAATAATCGATCGACGATATTAAAGAATTTATAATCGTAATTAAGATCAAATCATTTTCTATTTCGTCATTATTTCCAACTTATCAGACCTATTTCAACAATTTCTTAAATATTATTCATTTTCTATTGAACTAATAGATATTATTTGATCGATTTAAAACGTAAAGTAAACTTTTATTTGTACCATTGATGAAAAGTGTGTTATAAAAAATCTACCTGAATTTTAACACCCCATTGCATTCTATTCGTACGGTCGGATATATGTATATATATATATGTATATATATATATAAGTCATCAAGAGAGGATAACTAATTTCAATCTGCCCGACAATGGCCGAAATGAAAAATCGCGCATCATTTGCTGAACGCGACCAACTCCACCCATGGGTCTCTCTCTCTCCTCTCTCTCTTTCTCTCCCTCTCTCTCTTTCTCTCTCTCTGTCTATCTCTATCTTTATCTCTTTTACTCTCTCAAAAAAGAAGTTTCGGATCGAGCCGCGAGCCATATGTTTCCGAGCGAATGCGCTGAGAAGTCATCGAAGAAACGTGCTCATTATGAAAGAGAAAGAGAGAAAGAAGGAAAGAAAGAGAGAGAGAGAGAGAGAAAGAAAGAGAGAGAGAAAGAAAGAAAGAAGGAAAGAGAGAGAGAGACCACCCAATGAGTACTCTCTTCGCGTGACTCGACGAAAACTCTGATCAAGATGGCTTCATTTACTTGTCTCTCTCTCTCTCTCTCTCTCTCTCTCTCTCTCTCTCTCTCTCTCTCTCTCTTTCTCTCTTTCTTTTTCTCTCATCACCTTTTCGCACTTCAAATCTAATCGAAAGTCTACGATGTATGGATGTATCAAGGATAAATTGCATTCGTGATATCTACGATATTACTTGAACGTATTTTATGATCGAGTTGTTACGAGATATTCTCCTGGCACGCGTTAAATGGAAAGGGCACTTTACGGTTCAAACATATCGAATCTACATTTGATAGAAATAGTGAGAAAGAGAGAAATAGAAGAGAGAGTGATGTTATACGTATTATACGAGTTTTCTTTCTTGAGTTAGAACTAAGAGTAATGGAAAATTTTATTGAAACGCTATTACACTTCGATCAAAAACCAATTCGACTATTTCTCAAAGTATTTTACTTTTCTTCTTTTCTTCTAATTCTTCTAATTCGATATATTGTCGAAGTTATCCATTAGAAATTTGATATATGATGATAATCAATTTTTCCAAAGGCAAACATACGGTATACGGAATATTGATTTATGTATTGTGTTTCGATCGAATTGATTTAATCATCTGTATCAAAGATCTTTCTTTTTTTATAATAAACGAAACGAAATCAAATCAAATCAAATCAAATCAAATTAAACATTTGTAATATCATCGGTAGAAGAATTCTAATATCGATGAATAGAAAAAAAAAATCTATATATATATATATATATATATTTTTTTTTTTTCCTATATATATTTCCTAATTATTAAAGAAAAAAAAAAAAAAAAAAAAATAAAGAAAGAAAGAAAAGAAAAAAAAATCATATTCGATCGAATCAATATAACGAAATAATTTTCTTACAAGCGTACATTAAATTCTCCATCGGTATGATAATTTCGGTTGGAATGAATAAAACAAAAAACAAAAAAAAAAGAAAGAAAAAAAAACCAAAAATAAGATTTATTCCGTCGGATAATTTCACCTTGAAACAAAATAATCCAAACGAATTTTACCAGGTAACAGGTAGGTAAATAAAAATATATATATATATATATATATATCGAGTAGGAACAGAGAAAAAGACAAAGAAATGATCGAAGTAGTCTCGCTTTTTGAACGTCCATAGCGTCCAACTACCTGCAATGTGGTTGAAGAAAGATAGAAGATATTATGGCCGCTGTAAAGCACTAAAACAGCCGTCTAGAGTCTAAGAGGAGCCCGCGGCCTTCTCTTCTCGACGGCGCCGCACCACACTACCAGTACCCACTCACTCTGGTAAGTGGACATTAGCGCCCGCATTGTGAATCGGACCGCGTCGTCTCCCCACCATTTTGAATACCCAAAAACGCACAAAGAAGAAAATATCGTACTTATTAAGTCTTATTTATGTCTCTCTAAACAATGATAAAGAGAGTTAGAGAAAGAGAAAAAGAGAGAAAGAGAGAGACCAATTTTTCTAAGTAGATACGAACAAAGTAGTTACTCTTCGAACGAGTAGTTACTATTCGAACAAGTAATAACTCTTCGAATCCTTTGAAAACTATCCTTTATGTTTCATAGATATTTTATTTTTCTTTTTCCTTTTTTTTTGTCTAGGATTGACCCAATCGACTATATCAGACCTATTCCTCGACATAACGATAGAGAAATTTTATTTTTAACTTT